ATGAAGTACTGCAAAAATATTACAACTTAAGTAACATATAATCAGCAACCGGACTAAATCATTGGAGGTCAATTCATACATCAGACAGGGATGTCATATGTCACCCAGACTTTTCCTACTGGTAATGGACTGGGTAATGAGAAATACTGTTAAACACAACTAAGAGGAAATATGATGGATTTCCCTCCCACACAGAAGTTGGAGGGCAGTGCCTTTTCAGATATCATCTGCCTTTTGTCCCATCTCAGAGATCTGCAAGTCACAATGAGTGATGTACATACATTTAGTTGGGTTGAAAATCAATGTAGAAAAAAACTCAAACCAGGAAAATGAACATTCAGAAATAAATGTCAGTAACAGTTGGGAGGACTGACATAGAAAAGATTTAACACTTCACATGTCCTAGCAGCATGGCAAGCAAAGAGACAGAAGAAACAAAGACACTGACGATAGAATAGCAAAAAATAGATATGTCAAAGCCAATGTAGAGAAGTCAAAACCCTACTCCTCCCCAAACTAAACTCCATAAATTTGCCTTGAGTGTATAGATAGTATAGTGCTGAAACTTGGAGACTTACTAAGATCCTACTGCTAAGACTTCATTAACAGCTGCCTTTATCAAATCTTTTAATATATGGTGGTCAGAAAAATGATGCATTATTGAGGAGGAGAAAACAGTCACTAGGGCTAGAAACAACAAAATGAAAATGGAAGTGGTTGCATCATATATGGAAAAAAGATTCAAGCAGCATTAAAAGGTAGGCTTTAGATTGGAATCCTCATTGTAAAAGTCAACAGGGTGTATCTGATATAACATGGAGATGTATAAGGGAGAATCAAGAACCATCAAAATGAAATGTGAAGAAGTGACAATTACTGCTTGAAACCATGGTAATCAGTGCTAAAGGCTCTGGGCCTTCCAAATGGAATAAAGAAGCATTAACAAATTAAGAGAGAAATTAACAGAACTGGTGAAGCAGTGATACACCAATAGCCAGTTGTTAGAGGATGCACCTAAGATGTGCAAGATATGGGTTCAGTTCCCCCTGCCTGAGAGGCTTAAAACTTCTGGGGTAGGTTGCTTTAATTAGAGCCGCTCTTGAAGGCGCTCTAATTAAAGCACCTACTCCTCCCTCCCAGGGCACATATATAAATGTCCATTCTGCCCAAGAATGAATATAGTCCCTTTTATAGCAATCCTCATCTGATACCTTGCCTGGCTCAGAGCAGAGATTTGAACCACGGTGTCCCATCTGCTGAGAAGACTCCATAACCCAATGGTTAGGGGACTATTTTTCTTCTCTATAGCTTAGTAAATATGTGTGTTCTGTGTATAGCAGAACAACAATCACAGGAGACCCACCACAGAACATGCCACAGCATGATGAGTAGAAATTCTTTTCAGAAGGTGGGAAATATGTGGAACTAAGTGCTTTCAGGGAGAGGAAGAAATTGGACCTTGTTCTTCACATTGCAGCTGAGTGCTCTAACTATTGAGAAATTACATGTCCTTTGTAAATTTAGCCCTTTGTTTCCATGGCTTTCATCAAAAGTCAAAAGAAAAAAATCATCCAGAAATATCAAATAGTTTAGTTCAATTAAGGTTTCACTGGAATAATCATGGAGCAGGCAATCAAGAAATCCACATCTAAGCACTTGGAGGAGAAGCTGATTAGGAACAGTAAACATAGATTCACCCAGGGCAAGTCATGCCTGATCAATCTTATTGTTTTCTATGATGAGATGACTGGCTCTGTGGATGTGCGGAGAGCAGTAGATGTGATATACCTTGACTTTAGCAAGGCTTCTGATTCGGTCTCCCACAACATTCTCCCAAGCAAGCTAAGGAAGTACGGCTTGGATGCGTAGAGTGTAAGGTGGATAGAAAACTGGCTAGATCATCAGGCTATAAGGAGAGTAATCAACAACTCAATGTCTGGCTGGCAGCTGGTATCAAGTGGAGTGCCCCAGGTGTCAGTCCTGAGGCCTATTTGTTCAATGTCTTCATCAGTGACCTGGAAGATGGCATGGAGTGCACGCTCAGCAAGTTTGCAGATGACCCCAAGCTGGGAGGAGTAGTAGATACACTGGAGGGTAGAGCTAGGATTCAGCGAGACCTCAACAAATTGGAGGATTAGACCAAAAGATATCTCATGAGGTTCAATTAAGGACAAGTACAAAGTCCTGAATTTAGGACTGAACAATCCCATGCACTGGTACAGACTGGGGACCGACTGGCTAAGCAACAGCTCTGCAGAAAGGGATGTGGGAGTTAAAGTGGATAGTAAGCTAAATATGAGCCAACAGTGTATCCTTGTTTCAAAGAAGGCTAACAGCATACTAGGCTGTATTAGTAGGGGTGTTGCCAGCAGATTGAGGGAAGTGATTCTTCCCCTCTATTTGGCACTGGTGAGGCCACATCTGGAGTACTATGTCCAGTTTTGGGCCCCCTACTACAAAAAGGATGTGGACAAATTGGAGAGAGTCCAGCAGAGGACAATGAAAATGGTTAGAGGGCTGGGGCACATGACTTGTGAGAAGAGGTTGTAGGAATTGGGCTTATTTAGTCTGGAGAAGAGAAGACAGATGGGGGATTTAACAGCAGCCTTCAAGTACCTGAAGTGTGCTTACAAAAAGGATGGAGCTAGACTATTCTGAGTGGTGGCTGATGACAGAACAAGGAGCAATGGTCTCAAGTTGCAGCAAGTGAATTTTAGGTTAGATATTAGGAAAAACTCTCTCACTGGAAAGGTAGTAAAGCACAGAAACAGGTTACCCAAAGAGGTTATAGAATTTCCATCCTTCTTTGGAGATTTTTAAGACCCAGCTAGACAAAGCTTTGGCTGGGATGATCTAGTTGGGAATGGTCCTGCTTTGAGCAGACAGCTTGACTAGATGACCACCTGAGGTCCCTTGCAATCCTAATTTTCTGTGATTCTGTTTTGAAACAGTAATATTTTCATTGTGACTGAAAATCTATGATGAGTTTGACCTGTATTTCCAATTTTTTGCAACACTATATTCTTCGGTGACTAAATGACTTATTGAAAAATATTATTCAGCAATAATTAAAACATTGCTAGACTAATGGTATTCAAAGCAGATAATACAAACTGCCGGAAACATTTACATTATTTAAATAACAGAAAGTTACTACTTATGTAGTAGTATTATACAACCGCATTGAGCATGTCTACACATGCATTTATGCTAGCTTTAATTTACTGCACAGTAAATTACTGTGCAGAAAAGGGAAATAGGCTGGAATCTACATGTGTAGGTGTTAAAGCGCATTAACACTATGTGTGGTTTGACTTGGGGCAGAACTTAGTCCCAAGTCAATCCACACACAGTGTTACTTTGCAGTAAGGCATCTACATGTGCATTACTGTGCAGTAACTGTAACAGAGCACAGGATGTGCTCTGTTACTCCTGGGGGTGTGAGTAGCAGCAAAGCAGCCTGTAGCTGATTGCCATTCCAGTTAGGCAGGGCTGCCTGATTGGGAACAGTGCTCAGCTGGACCCTGAACAGCAAAGCCATCAGTCTGCTGCTGCAGCTGGAAGAATACTACCTGGCTGAGCTGCTGCTTGGAACATCTTGGAGGTAAGGGAAGGAGCTATGGGGATGGCAGGAGGCTCCTGTCCTGGGTATGACAGAAAACTGCACCCTGCCAGGGAAGGATGGTTTGGTGGGGCTGCCTGTGGTGGGGTAGTCCCTGGAAATGCCAGGCCAGTCCCCTCTCCAGTGAAAGGTGAGTATGGGGTGCCTTATAACCCCAGCCCCCACATCCCTGGTAGATAGTAAGACCAAGCAGGGGGAGCCCAGACTCAGTGCTGAGGCAGGGCCCAGGTCAGGTGGAGGGACCTGAGGCAGCGCCCAGACTCACAGCGGAGTTCTGAGGCTGTGTGTGTCTTCAGGAGTGTGGAGCCCTGAGCCTTTGGGGAGCTATGCATAAAGCTCCTGGGGTGAAGGGATAAAGGGATTGTAGCCTAGTGAGGGCAGGGGACAGGGCTTGGAGGCCTGATGCCAGAGTGGGGCTTGGAGGCCCAGAGTGGGGCTGGAGCCCTGAATGGGAATGGGGCTTGGAGCTCAGAGTTGTTAGGGGCTTGAAGCCCAAAATTGAGATTGGTTTTGGAGCCCTGAAGAGGTGAGGTCTTGGGGCCTTAAATGAAGTACAACAGAGAGCCCAGTGAGAAGGCACTGGGACCATGAGTTCTGGTGGAGAATGACAGTCCCATGTGAGACTCTGGAGCTCAGGTCCTAGTGTGAGGCACTGGAGGAACATCTGTGAGGCATAGGACACAGGAAGGGTGGTTGGAGCTGTGTGTCCAGGGCAAGTCAATGGTCAGCCTCCCACCTTAGTGACATCTTATAATCAATTATCAAGGCATGGCAGGAAAGGAAGGCAGGTGGTTAGTCCAGAAGCAAGTGGGTGGGCCAACAACTGACTGACCCCTGGATGCCCACTTTTTACAGTAACTAATCAAGTATAAATTTGATACCTGCATGATGTTAGGTATCAAATTTATTTGCAAGTTGGTGTAATTTTCCATATTTACCGTGCAGTATGGTCATGCACGTGTAGATGCACACCCATACTGCACAGTAATTTTGGTTATTGCGCAGTAAATGAGCATGTGTAGATGCACCTATTAAATCACAAATATGTTTAGGTTCCTCAATTAGGGATTACCTTAAAAAAACTCTAAACCTTGTAATAGTTACCTGTTTTGCTTAAGGAAACATGAATAGTTACAACAGTGTGACAGAGGAAATACAGGCTAATGAGACAAAACTGGTCTGTAGTATCAGACTGTATTTGCTTATTGTATAGGGCTCTTGGTTAAATTGGACCTCCGGTGGAATACTGCTTAAAATATGTTTGGCATGTCTTAGTACTTTAAAAGGTGGCTAATACTGTACCAAATGAGCCAAAGTTTGTACTAAATAATAATAAAATAATATAGTTACAAGTTTACTTATTGTTTCAATTTTCTAGCATGAAGCTACTAAGATAATGCAGGATGCCATTAATGAATTCAGTGGAACTCCAGAGGAAATCCGCATCACTGTTGCTAACATAGATTTGGCTCTGAGTAAAGGGGAAGTGGAAATAGCACTAAGTGCACTGAGAAATATCACACCAAGCCAACCATATTATATTGAGGTTAAAGAAAAGATGGCTCAGATATACCTTCATATACGAAAGGATAAGAGGCTATACATTGGATGCTATTGGTAATATTTATTTAATGGATTCTATAAATATGTATTCATTTTCAAATATTATACTTAGAAGAAGTGGCTTTATTTCTACAAAAATCCAAACAAAATAGAGTCAAAATAATTTTAGAGCTTTTAGGAAATAAAGCATATTTGTTAAAAATACTGTGTTGGAATCTAGGATAGTGCATTAGGAGATCTTGATTCCAGTTTCACCTTTGCCATAGATTTGTTTTGAGATCTAAACAGTTATTTACTTTAATGTTTTATTTATCATAAGATTTAACAATTTTGTTAAGATAATAAGAATTCTAAGCAACTTGGGGGAAGAAAAGAATCAGAAACTGAATGAGAAAGTCCTTTAACCACTGGGTTATGGAATCATTTTATTTCTTTGTGGCTCAGTAAATATGTCAGTATTCTATGCACAGTAGAACGAGACCCACTACAAGAGAATATTGAGAATATTAAGGAAATATTTAAGTATAGAACAAATAATGTAAGTATCTTATGCCAAAAACAATCATGCTACATTGTTAAGGCCACATTCTGTTATCTTTATTTATGCTGAGTTCTGCCTTCCTCCACAGAAATGAAAAAGAATATTTCTTGATTAAGGGCCAGAGCCTAATCTTCTAAGGAGCCTAAACAGGACGCAGGCAGTATATAGGCACCTAAATCACAAAAAGCAGTCTAAGTCATCCCCTCTTAGATGCCATAAAGCTGCTTAGAATCCTGCTATATAAATCTGGTGCCTCCATGTTGGCCTGAAAAAAGTCTCTGGATGCCAAACTTGGCCTAGTACACATGCTCAAAAGCAACCCAGTTCAGCCACTTGATCATTTTCCTATGCCCTTTTGTGATCAATATCAGCACTGGAGGCACCTGCACCTCATTTAATCTCCAGCTCCATGGCAATATTTGGAATTAGTTCCCTTCTCTAGATCAGAACTGTAACTACTGTTACCACAAAGAAAAAAATATACGTATAGTTTCTGAAGCCTTTCCTTTAATGTCAATATCCTTATTGCATGATTATTGGGACATAATTCTCCCTCATTTTGGTATTTCTAGAGCTCTAAAGATCTCTTCTGAAACATACAGATTAGGCAGAATGGCGCTATTCTTCACAACTCATTCTGTCTAAAAGGCCAAGGTCTTAGGGCTTCAAAGTTGCTACAGGCAAGGTGGTACAATTCTGCATTAGTTGTCATTCTAGGAATCTTGAAAACTATTTAAAAAGGAGTTGACACTCCCTCTCTAAGGATCCTAATGACACTTTGGAGACGAATGTCAGAGCCTCGTTGAAGGAAGTTTTGCAAAGAAGGATTTCATTCGTCTACAGAGGTGCCCATTGGGAGGAAGGCGCTCTTGGGTTGCTTCTTAAATCATTCTTTAAATTACAAAGTTCCTAGATGCAGAAACTGCTTGTTATGCCAATAACAATTAAACTCTGCTTATCTTCCCCCTTCTGATTCTGTGATTCAGTCCTGATTGCTTCCCCATAGTAATAAATTAGAAGAGCTGTGCAGCAGCAGGGGGAAAAAATTACCTAATAATTTTCTTTCTGTTAGCAACTTTTCTTCTCAGTCAGAGAACCCTGGCAGGTTGGAAATGACCAGAAAAGAATTTGTAACAATTGTTTTTTCTCCTCTAAAAGTAAACTTAGATCTTTAATAACTTTACAAGGAAGTATGCATCTTATTGATGTATAATTAATATTTAAATAATAATTCAAACAAATAATTATGATAAAATATGTGAACATTTTATTATTAAGAATTGACTGCTGCAGTGTTTCTGTTTCTTTGGAAGAGCACTTTTGGTATCCTGAGCTAAAAGACAGGACTTTGGTCCTGGTGCCTCCAGTAACACTGGAATTTCATAGCTGGTAGGGTCGGAAGGGACCTGTGCAGATCATCAAGTCTGACCCCCTGCCATGCCAATTTCTCCAAATTTCACAGTAGAACATATTGCCCATTAGTGATAAAAGAGGAGAAGAGCTTGTTACAACAGTGTATCTCATAAGACGGTTTTTACTGAGAGCATCTGCAAGAGACACTACTGTACAGTAGCTAGGTAGGTCGTTGCTACCGTGCAGTAATGTTGGTGGGCACTAACCATAACATGCCGCTACTGCGCAGTAGAAACAAGCTATTGTGCAGTAGCTCATTACTACTGCATAGTAGTGACTGAAAAAGCATGCAGGGATGGTACTGTGCAGTAACCATGGTTACCGTGCAGTCCACTGTTTGTGTAGACGCAGTCACTCTTTACTATACTTTAAATTATATCTTCATTTTGAACAGTTAAACGATTAGTATATTGTAGAAAAAATAGCAAACTATTTCATATGGATAAAACTATTAAATGCTTACATATTCCTGACAGCAAATCATTTATATAACAGCCTGTCTGCAACCTTTAGCCCAGCATTTCTATAAATGAAAAACATTTTATGTAGTAATATTAATATGTTTCCATAAAAATGAATGGCATTAAGGAATATATTGAATAATATTCTGAATATTATTTTTCTCTCTGTCAAAACCTGAATGTTGATATTGGCATCTATTTCCTCACTGATATGCGAGTATTTACACAAACTACTCAAATTAAGATTCTTTTCCCTCAGATGTATTATCTGACATTTTTCCAAATTCTAAAATTTTGTTGCTTCCTGATACATTTCCAAGCTCTCTAGCGCTCTAGTTGTATAATTCTTATACAGGTAAGCAAATGCAGTGTGTTGATTACTGTTACTAATTAGCTCAGACCTGTCATATATTATTATTTTATTGCTTTATACCTTTCATCCCTAACAGTTTCTCTCTCTTATCCAACTATGTTGTCTTCCTTTTGAATAGTAAGCTCTTTTGGGCAAAACCAGTAATTTTCTGTGCTTGTACAGCACCAAGCAGAAGAGAGCCTGACTAGCTTCAAGGCACTGTCGCCTTATGCATATTACTTAATTATGATAATTGCTCTGCTTTCATGATGTTCATGTATCTTCAAGTTTGGTGTCATCTATAATATTTTTCCTCTTCCAGATCATTCCTTGTGATGTTAAATAAGATGGGACTTAATAGTTAACACATTACATTCAACACCTCTCTGGGCATCAGCCCTCACTCACATTATTGATATATTGCTTTTTGATGTATTGTTTCCTTGTTTCAGCAAGTATTTCTGCTGAAGTAAAATTAGAATGACTTTTGTGAGTATGATTTTTTTATACAGAAAAAGTAGGGTTGAGGATTTCACACTGCTTTGGTCTTGTGTGGTGAAGTGGGAGGTCCCCAACCAACCACAGTGCTAGTCTCTCACTGCCTCTGGGCATGCCACCTGCCTCTCTCTCCTGCCACACCTTGCCATTAAATAATTAGTTGGTAATTAGGCGGGAGGCTGCCCTTCGAGGACCCTGATGTCTAAGGGCCAAAAGAACATGCTCCTACCACACCTTAACGTGTCCCATTCCTCACAGATGGCATCTCAGTTCTTAACATCTCTGGCCCCACACTGGGCCCCATAACACTCTAGCCTGGACCCCAGCTAGATCCCTTCCCACCAGACGGCCTACGCCGCCTTCATTCTGGGCTGACAAGCTCCCTGCACTCTTCTCCCTCTTAGGCGTGGCCCCCCTGGGACCTTTGGTCACACAGGCTCTGGCCTCACCTCTGGCCCATGGAGCTTGTAACAGACCCAGAGTGGCGAGCACCCCACTGGTGCTCTGCCACAGCTTGGATTAGCCTCACTGAAGCCAGCAGAAGCTTTTTTCATTGACTTGATTGTAACCAAGATCAAGCTTCTTCAGAGCACAGTAAATATTGGGCATTTATAGAAGAGCTCCGGGAGCTGGGGTGGAATGCTTTAATTAGCGAGCTGCGCTAATTAAAAGCACCTGAGCATCATGCTATTTTTCAGCACAGGGACACTGATACACATGATGCAGGGAGGAGACTGCCGGATCATAGTAATTTCCATGTTCCAGCAGACTCTTAATCTGCGTCAGTAAATCCAGTGCATCTGGTGCAACGTGCTGGATTTACAGTGCATCAGAGCAGCTTTGCTGCATGTGTGTAAGTGCCCATTGTGTCTGCTCTATAGATATAGACTGACACATTAAGAAGTTAAGTGATTTCACTCATTTGTGACACAGTGGGCGCGTCTACACATTCATTAATGTGCCTATTGTGCATTAAATTTAGTACTTGCAAAAGAAAGTACTAAAAAAATGTGCAGCAGGCTGCCCTATTGCATTAGTGCAATCGCATGCTTTTATTGTGACAGTTAATGCTAAGTAGACTAATACTACTGCACATTAGCCTAAGAGCATGGTTTTTGCCATAATGCCATAATGCACAGTCAACCAATCTACTGAGCAGTAAGCATCTCATGTAGATGTGCCCAATGTGAAATAAAAAATAGGTCCCCAACTGAGGCCCTAAATTGCCTCCTGTTATTTGCTATGGGTGTCTGCTCTGGTAAGGAAAAAAGATGGGATCATAAAAGTTAGAAACCCTTCATTTATTTATCACTCATTTCCTGCTCCACTGGGGAACGTACTGTGGGTGGGTTAGATAGTGTTTTATTTCCTGGGGTAAGCTAGAACCCGAAGTCCATTCTAGGGTCTTCCCTGCAACAAGATGTGCTGGGAGTCATAGCTTCATAGAACAGCAGTGTTCGCTGCTGCTGAGGGGAGAAGTGACCCAAGTTTTTGCTAGCAAAAAAATGGGGTGAGAGTTCTCTCCAACAGCAGCAAAATCCATTGCTGCTCTATAAAGCTATGATTCCCAGAACACCTCGTGATCCATAATACACTGTCCAAGCCAGCTTTGCTGCTGTTCCTGTGTGCTGCCTAGTGGGAAGAAAAACAGAGTACTGCCCCAGATGCGTTCTTCTCACGTTATGCCTTTGCACCTGTGATATATGGGACTGGTGCAGGGAGAAGCATCCATCTTTTAGTCCCAAGAGAAAAGCCCAAGCCATTCTTTAACTGTCCTAAAAAGCCAAAT